GGGGGGGGGGAGAAATCTCTGACACCCATCCCCCCTTGGGGGGGGGAAGGCCCAGAGTGGCCCAGTTGCTGGTCAGGGGAAGATACCCACGCAGCTGCCTGGGGAGGCGGCTGCTCTCGGCACGCAGGCCCTCAGCTGCTTCCCACCCCGGGAGAGGGAGCAGGGGCTGGTGGTTGAAGGGGGGGGGCAGCGCCTCTTGGCCTCCCTGCTCTGAACTTTGGGGAGCAGCTGCCCCCTGGCAGGGGGCCCACAGCAACCTTCACTTCCTCCATGTCTTCCCCACCCAGTCAGCCCCAGACTCCCAGCGGGGAAAGGAGGCCCTTGGGCAGCATCTGGCCGGATCCGCTGTCCGTGTGCCCAGTGCTTGGAGGCAGGGGCAGAGGGTGCTCTCAGAAGCAGTCCTGGAGAGAGGAAGGGCTTCTCCAGGAGCCCCTGGCAGGTGCTGCTGGGGCTCTGTCCCCTCAGTTCAGGCAGCCAGGTGCCCTTTGCCCCCTGGGGGCCCCAGCCTGGTGCAGTTTGGGCCAGGGAGCTGCCTCTGCTGGGCCAGGAGCCGCTTGGGAGAGCCTGGCACAGAGGAAACGGATGCTTTGGCTCCTGCCTGAGAAACGGATCTTCATTTGCCAAGTTTTGTAACCTTTAAAAAGTCCATTTCAGGACTCTATAAATACAGGAGAATTCAACCCGGTTCCTCTTCGGTTGTCAATTCAGCGTGGCGTATGTTCCGCGTATAAGGCGACCCACGAGCGGCTGGAGGGCTCCGGTCTCCCTTCCTAGGTTGAGCTCAGCGCCTTCCTCCGCCAGCCGGGCCTTGCTAGCCCATCCCAGCGCTCATCCACCCCCGTGCCCAGGGGAGGAGGGCCGAGGTTGTCGAAGGGAGGGCCGGGGGCGGTGCTGCTTTTTCCTTTGGCTTTCGGTACGGCCTTCCTTATGCCAGCCGTGTAAGACCAGCCCCGATTTTTGAAATAATTTTCTGGGGTTAAAAAGTCGTCTTATACGCCGGGAAATGCGGCAAATCAATTCTTCGTTCCTGGGGGAAAATCTTCCGATCCGTCTCTGCCTCCTGGGAGGCTCCTTGTGAGGACGAGAAGGGCTTCCTTGGAGCGAAGCCTCGGAACCGCCGAGCCCCTTGGGGGGAGTTTCAAGCAACCTGCGCAGACTCTGCTTAGCTCAGCCGTCCCGGCTGGGACTCCCAGCATCAGCAGCGCAGAGCAAGAGTTCTCGGGGGAGGGGGGGAATGATACTTTACTGATACCGGCTGCTTTTACCTGGGCTGTGGGGTCCTGACAAGCCAGGAGAGTGGGTGAGCAATAGCAGTTAGACTTATATACCGCTTCATAGGGCTTTCAACCCTCTCTAAGCGGTTTACAGAG